TSTGTGTGTGTGTGTGTGTGTGCGTGTGTGTGTGTGGGAGCTGAACAGGATCTTGCCTCTGCAGTCACATGAATAAAAAGCCAGTCACTAATGATAAGAGCCATTAAATATAATATTGTCGATATTTATGTGCATGGTCACTTCACAAAAGGCATCGCCGTGGCAACAGCAGGCCATGATGACGGACAGGAAGGACACGTCCTGCTTCAGTCACAGTCACGTAAACACGTTCTCTTTCCTGAGAGTGAAGCTTTATTTATTTATTTATTTCTGCAGCTGAACATTTGCGTCTTCAGGAAAATAGAAACTTTCCAGAATCAGAACCGTGACTGAGCGACTGTTGCAGCGTGTTGTAGATGTCAGCTGATGATGAGCGTGTGTACGAACATACGTGAAGACAGAAACGACACGGACACGTTCAAATGAATTGAAAACATTCATTCTTTATTCGTCACCTTCTCCGCCCATCACTCTAAAGCTTTTTGTTGCCCCTCGCTCTGATTGTCGCCGGCCATTCCCCCCCCCCCCGAGTCCAGTCACACGACCAGACTCTTCCTCAGAATGAAAAGATAAAAACATTCTTCTTAGTTCACAGATAAGCTCATAAACAAGAGGATGGAAATCAATGATGAAGACACAGTCGTCACTCGACGATTCAGCAGAGACCTAAAGAAAACTGCTGCGACACCACGAGAAACAGGTTCATTTTCCACTAGAGCAGAATTACAGAGCAGCTTTGCAACATCACTGAAAGACAAGAAGGAGCAGATGAGATTTTATTGTAGTGTTTTACGGCCCCTCTGGCGTTTCCCCAAGACTCTTCTCCGCGGCAGCAGCGTGACCGCTACAGCGGGAGGAACGACTCGTACAATCAAAGAGCACTTTGGGAGCCAGAGGAGAAACGGATCATAAATGAGAAGATGAGGGGAAATAAAGTTCTATTCTTCGGATCATAGTCCGACAAAATCACGAGAAGCATTTTAGAGCACGGTTGCCATTTTGATCTCCTACAGGAATGTGTGTGAGCATCAGTTTATTACAGTAAACTCAGAATATCTCCAGTGTTCTATCAAATCAGGTCAAAGGTCGTTCATCACCTGCAGCTTTCAGCATAAAATGTTCAAAATAAAATACATAAAAGACAAAAAAACAATAAATCAATAGTGAAATTTGCAATTCAGTGTAAATCATTTCATCCGTCATCTTAACACATGAACAGTTTAATTCTGGAAGTTTCCAAAATGGCCCCTTCGACCAATCAAATGACCAGCTTTCAAAAACAAAATGGTGTCAGAGTAAAACAATTCTTTTTAAGATATTCTGAAGTGAAACAACGAAGTGGAAGGGAAACACAAATGAGCAGCAGCTTTTTATTTTACAGCAGATTTTCAAAACTTTCATTCAACGCTGAGCTTATTTTTTATTCAACAACTGAAGTCAAATGAATTAAATCCAGTGAGAAAGAGCGGCGGCAGTAAAACTGATCGACAGGTCGACCGTGTTCTTTGTTTCTCTTGCTGCCAACAAATCCCATGAAAAGACCAAGAGCAACCATGAAGAAGACGAGTTGGTGCAGAGCAGAGGACTCGTTACGTTTTCACCCCCGTCCGCTTCCGAAACGACCACGAAACTTTGTGAGGTCTGAGGTCTGGTTCAGAAAGTTCTGTCATATTCAGGGGAATGAGATTTCTGATCCTGCAGGTTGATTTTATTTAAGGCGGAGGTGTAAACTCTACTCAGCAGCATTAGCTGACTTCACAAAGCCCCGCCCCAGACTCTACACGTAAACAAATCACCGGCGGAACGTTTCCCAGGTTAAATCCGTTTCTGTGACTCTGATTCACTCAGTTGCAGTTCCGGACTTGTCTTTGTGCTGGAAGTTTGTCCGAGAGTTCAGAACTTGAGTGCGTCTCTCGTTGCACATTTTGTCCGGGACTTCACATCTTTTATTTAATTTGCAACATCTACAAGTTTGCAACTCCTGAAGCATCTTTCTGCAGATTCACCGAAACACGTGTGTGAGCATTTTCTACAACTGCAAACTCCATTGTCACGCGTGCTCGGTAGTTTGATGTGTGAAGTCAAAGTGACATCGTCTTTCACTACGACGAGTTGATCCCACGTGTCACTGTCCTGGTGCCATGAATGCTCACCACTGCATCAGATGTGCTTTCATCCACAGCTGGAAATATTCATTTCATTTGAGATCGTGCGAGACTTTTAAAGTCGTCTTCAGCACGAGTCAATACAGCGACCGACAGATTCCTCAGTGTTGCTCTTTTCACGGGCTTTGTTAAAGAATGATCCTTCGACGTGACTTTTTACAGTGTATGTGTCTTCGAGCATCTGAACATAAAGATCCGCAAATAAATATAAAGTTCTGTGTGAGGTTCCGATAAGCTCACATTAGAATTCAGATATTCAGAAGCACTCTGTTTCCCACCTGCTCCATTTCTCTCTTTTATATTCTGGTGTTTTTCAGGATTGTGAGCACAGTGCGACAAAATCCAACCACAGGCGCACGGCGTGGTGGAGCACTTAAGCACCGCGGAGGGAAACAATCATCGCGAAGCCACCACACTCGTTTCAATGTGCGGTTCCCAGAAGTGGTCTTTGTAGTTCTGCATTATGTAAAACACGTATACCATTAATATTTCATAGTGTTGCCACATGCCTCGTTCCACCGCTGCCGCCGCAGGTCATGTGCTGAACCTGTGACGTTTTGCTTCCTCGATGCAGAAGCACAACTCTTCAGTGAGTCATGAAACATAACAGTTAAAAATAGTAATGGGGCTCTTTAAGTCCCGATAATAAATAATACATAGTTTGAACAACTCTTTTTTCCATTTGTTTCCATGCCGACAGATGTAAAAAAAAAAAAAAAATGGAACGACTCTCACGCACACACACACACTCTCGCACACTCCCAGACATCCTTCCACCGCCCCCCAGTTACTTAGCGGTGCCCTGCTGATCACCGGAGGAATAAAAGAACATAAATTACACATTAAATATATAAACAGAGTCCATCATCAACCCAGAGCGACCGAGAGGCTTCAAGCCCCTTAACATGATCTGGGTTTAAATCCTTCACCTGGTCCAAAATGTCCTTAATGAAAATGTAAGGCCGTGTAACCCAAGCGCTTGGGCCATAGGAGGGCTGCGAGACAAGACGATTAAATATTCAAACACCCACAGTCTCCGAGTCTTTGTCCTGTCCAGTTGTTTTAGGTTTTCAGTGTGTGTGGTAAGATGGGGCTGCTGGTAGCTCAGTAGATCCTTCAGTGTCGAGCATATAGACCTGGATAACACCCGAGATTAAAAATAAAAGCCCACAGAGTGAAACACACTGACGGTGCTTTGAGCTGGTGAGGAGAGCTGGACTGACCCGAGGGTACCAGCAGGGGGGAGAGGGTGGGAGATGGGTGAGAGTTCGGGGGAAGCGGGGAGGAAACCAGACAGGTTGAAGAGTTGAGTCTCTCTGTGAGTCATTGCTTCAGGGTGAATAGTTTGTGAGAGAAGAAGAGAAGAGTTGTTTATTGTGCTAATGGATGGAGGTCTGGTCTCGTAGGATTCTCTTTGGAGACCTGTCGGCTGATCCCTTTATGTCTCTCTCAAAGACTTGAAGTGGCATGTGGGGGGGGGGGGGGGGGGGGGGAACAGAGTTTGAGAAAGAGAGACTGAAAGTAAGTAACATGACACTACACCAGTGTGATGCACACAAAGCCCACTCTGTGCCGCACAATAGGCCTGATATCACCACTTCTTTATTGAGTCCTGGCTGCACATAACAGATTTGCTTCAAAAGAACCACTTTCCCCTCAAACTCTTCTCCCGTCCGCCGTGGTCGAGCGTGTAGAGGTGTGCAACTGAGCCGAGTCCCAGTGTGGGTTTCTCCCGCCCCTTGTTTTTTGCCAACGCTGATTTGCTTTCACAGACCAGAGAGGGGAACGATTCAAGTTGAGTCCAGATACGTCTCATTCCCCTTTCCCTCCTGTTCCCTCTTTTGTTTTTTTTTTTATCCCAGATGCTGTGTGGAAGGAACAGGAGGGACACAGATTCAAGATCAACCCAGGTGCCCTTGTCTCCACACCCCCCACCAACAGCCAACCCCTGTCTCGTGGATCAGGATGAGCAGAACAATGCATGTCTGTTGGGCTCTCATCGTCATATTCAAGTTTCTGTTTTCCAGACTATGAGGTCTGGACCTATGAGGATTTAGACCCTAACTTTGTGGTCCGACTCTGAGACCCTGCAGCAGGCTTCGAGGTGGCCATGGACCGTGTTCCTGGAGGACCCGGAGCTGCAGCGGGCTGTGGACTGCGATGCCGAGGCAGGACTGTGCGTAAGGGCTGCTGGAGGGTATGTGACTGCTGCTGGGGCCGGAGCTGGTAGACTCGACGGTAGCGCAGCGACTGGGAGCGTAGGAGAACCCGTGTGTACTGGATTTCTGGCAGGATGAGCTTGAGGCAGAGCTCCTGGGCCTGACTCGAGAACCCACTGCTGAGATTCACTGGTAGGTCGTACCCCACGATGTCGACTTTTCCACTAGGCTGCCATGGTCGGAGTTCCTTGTTTTTAATCTGTGCAGCCGACCGAAGTGGCATCCGATCACCAAAGCAGCTTCTCATCAGCCTCTCCTGGGCTCGCCGTAGGAGTCGCACCTCCCTAGCCACGCAGGCTGGGCCGAGAGCTGACAGCTGGCGCCACAGTGAGGCGTTAAAGTGGTCATAGAGACGTGCATCTAAAGAATTCCAGGCTCGGATCTTTGCAGGAAGTCCCGGTGTCAGGCTCCGCTTCGAGCTCGGGGTCCTCATGTTGAGCTTGACATAGAGTATGTCCTCCAGATCCCAGGAGAGGAGGTGACGGAGGAGAACCAGCGATTCATCAAAGTACTCAGCGATCAACACCAGGGAGAAAACTCTGTCCACCTCAGCCACAAAGGACCGTGCATATGCCACATCTGTTGATGGCCGGTCCTTGTCTCCACCCAAGTCGAACGTCAAGGAGTTGCGTGCATACATGGAGTCTTTTTCTTCCGGCCGGTAGTAGTGCCAGGGCTCCTCTAAGAAAGCCTCCAGGGAGCCGTTGGGGACCCTCTTGAAGCTCTGGCAGTGCTGGTTGTAGTAACTGAACAGGGACTCGAACATGTGGCTGGGCTCCCTCAGTATGGTGACATATATTGTGTCGTTGGGCATCAGACGCTGCAGCTCCGCCTTGTTGAAGCGCATGTGGCTGGTGATGATATTTGGTGGCAGCGTGTGCGGATGGACGAAGTGAGAGGTGAAGGAGCGCGGGTAGCAGAACTGGTGGCTGCAGGCCTGCACGGGCAGCGCCGCCGTCAGGTTGTTACGCTCGGCAAAGCGGAACAGCAGGTTCTGCATGGTGGTGCTGGCCGTTTTGTGGGTCTTGAGGAAGGCCACATTGGTGTGTTTGGGTTTCAAGCCTGGGGCAGGGTGGGACTGGATGGCAGGACAACCGAGGTGGAAGGCATCCATGGTCCTGGAGAAAGAAGAATAAGATTCAATCCTTCAGCAGAGGAAAGTGTGTGTGTGTGTGTGTGTGTGTTGGGGGG